ATTAGCCATTTAATTCAATGTTTATAATAAATGAAATGTTGAATAGACCAGAAATAAGTACAAAAGTAAAACGCTGTTCAGAAAAAGAAAACTAAACAATGGTTGATTTTAAAGTTTCTGTGTTTGGGTGTAGGTGTTTATTTTCCATCACTTTCGATCAGATTCGAAAAAATAAATTCTATTCTGACAGAGAGATTGTCATTACGTATATCTTCTATATGAAAATATAGCTGAATGAGTCCTCTATTGCACGATATTATTTGAAATAGGACATAGATTTTCTGTAAGATATTCAGCCAAACACTTGATTTCACGTGATAAAGCACAAATTCGTAAAATAAATCTTTTTAAATCAAATACTCTTCGATTTATTTTGCTTTATGCTAGATCAATTATTTTAATACCACCGAACGCTTTCTTTGTAATAAACGATTGTATATATATATGCGTTGCTCGAAAACACCTCATAGTGATAAAGAAAAAGCTGAAACAAATATATCCGGATAAAGAAATTCTCACCAAAGTTGCAAAATCGTTTGTTGGTACTATTTCTTCTGAAGTCTCTGTCGCTTGTAACAAACACTTTGAATCAAATTCTTTTGTACATTTTTGCACTAAATACTTTGCCCTTTCTAATAAAAAAAGAAGATATCTCTACAATACTCTATTACACTGCTATATCAAAAACAAAATTCAACCAGAACTTTTGCACCACGCGGTAACTTCAAAATAATTTAATAGCAAAATGCCACCTTTAATGATAAGCTCTTCAGTATTTCCAATTGTACGATTATTAGAGCATCAACCTCGAAGATCTCATCTTCTTTTTAATGAAAAAAAAGAATATGAAATACTTTTAAAAAAACTCAAATAAACTGGAGAGAGTGACAAAGTGACATAAAAAACAAACTAATCTTGCAACAAAAAGACAGAATTGATCACTTAAAATAAGCACTATCATCAATCGTCAATTTCGAGGATAAAATACCCACTGGTGATCGATGTATCTCAAATTTTATCATCAAACCAGAGAAGTAGAAATATTCAACACGCACAAATTACGAATTTTAAAGGATGCTAACATAGTGATATTTACAATCGATAGATTTCTTTTTAGTCTCCACATTTTCCTTCAATTTGACTAACTCTTTGATTAAAATATCTTTTTTCTAAACTACTATCTCATATATCTTTTTTGTAACAAAGAGAGAATAAAAACAATAATAAAAAAAATAACTATGATGAAACAAATACTTTTTTTGAATCTGTGCATATATGGTAATTAGTTGTTGCAAAGCTCTACTGAATGTAGTCATAGTGTTGTTTGTTATGATG